TCGTCGCGTTTTCGTTTCGCTTTTTTCTGCGGTACTTCGGACGATTTCTTGGCGGGCGCGATGTCCAGATCATGTTTTGATCTGTACGCGGAAATCATTTCGTGGCATTGCGGCACTTCGTCGGCACGATACATCAGATCTGATCCAGGACCGTATCCTTTGAGTCTTAGACGATATCGATAGTTGTGCGGACCTTTTCGGCCTTGACCGCTTCGATGCCCTACCACTATCAATACGACGTATCTTTCAATTTTCAGTTGATTTTCGTCGTTTGCTGTCAGGGCAGGTAAGGGAATTTGTTTCCCAAGGAAATATTCCGCCAGTTTTCCAAACTGTGGTGCTGGTGGTTTTGTCAGGAAAATCGTGCGTCGAGACCATCAGTAGTCGGACACGGTTTGACCTTTGAATACGATTGCAGCAACTAGTCTGCGTAGCAGTAGAAAATAATCCATCTCTCCATAGCATGTATTCTCTTGTTCTAGAAATATTCCGGAAGCATGCTAGGTCAAGGTTGACCGGGACATCTACGTAGAACGTGTGTAGCTTCTGGAAGCCTTCTGAAACCTTCTGGAACCTTCTGGAACCTTCTGGAACCTTCTGGAAGCGTTCTAGATCTAGGTTGCAGTTGATACTCTTCCAGAATGTAGGAGGGCTTCCAGAAATCATTCTGGAAGCATTCTGGATCTATCTTTCGTGTGATTGGCTTATTTGTCCGTTATTCGAGAAGAGTGGTGCAGCCCTAAGCTCACCCCCCTCTCTCTCTCCTCTTCAGTACCAGCAACATGTGACTCGGGAGTCAGCGATTAATAAACACATCTTCATATTTCTATTCCAAGTCTCTCGCGGTTGGAGCCGCACAGAGTATGAACCTCTGAGGCAGGCTACACAGCCTATCGGCATCTGCAGCATCGCACTGCTGCTAGTGCACAGCGAAATATTCGCTGACAGGTTATGAGCCTCGAATAACGCACACACTACGAGCTGCGAACATCACGGGAAGATCAAGGCAACCTCTTCTCGGGACATCACCCTTCATCCGTGGACAACGAGAGAACCTGGTTTCGGAGATATCTGGAGATTGCGACGCCGTCATCGGTCAACGGCAGCACAAGCAAACGCGCAAACTTGGCCATCTACACCAAGGTGCTGAGGCTTCACGTCGTATACACACGTTATCACCCCTGCGGCAGAAGTGGGTATCTCTGTGGTGAACTAGCAGCCAGGATCACGTGCGCGGGAGTCTCGAGCGGCATACGCATCGGGTGTACAAGGAACTACACTGTATCATCAGTGGAGGCGATCAACAACCGGAGTCCTC